CTAACTTTAATATTTAGATCTCCTAATTCTAAAGCACTAACTTTAATATTTAGATCCCCTAATTCTAAAGCACTAACTTTAATATTTAGATCCCCTAATTCTAAAGCACTAATTTTAATATTTAGATCCCCTAATTCTAAAGCACTAACTTTAATATTTAGATCCCCTAATTCTAAAGCACTAACTTTAATATTTATATCCCCTAATTCTAAAGCACTAACACACTTAATAATTTAGCTAAAGCTAATTGTAAAGCACTAAAATCCCAGCTGAACATTCCTCAGAATCAACAGGAGAATATTTTCTGTTGCAGAATATTGTTAATATTTTTATCTAGTGTCGTGGTTCCTTCTTTGTGGGTCACAAATCATTAAGTGAGGGTCTCCAGATGACTCCCAGACATCAATTTAAAAGCAAAAAAAATGTGAATGGAATATTTTCATCATGATTTTTGCAGTTTTTTTAAATAATCATAAATGAATAAAAATTTGTATCACTGTAACTTTGTTTGTTAATAGTTATTATTCCCATGTTTAACAGAGTTATCAGCTAAATTTGCCACATAAACAAGTAATATCTGGGGTCAGGAGTGTCTGCAGCTGTTATTTTGTGGGTCGGAAGCAAAACAGTTTGAAAACCACTGATCTAGTGGATAAATGACACACGTATGACCAACATGACTGACAGCTTTCACTCTTAGTTGTTGATAATAATGTTGATCAATAATATCTAAAAAAAAACTCAATTAATGCTTATAAATTTAACAAGTGCTAATCCACTAATGAATTAAGAAATTAGAGGTTAAAGTTATTAAAAGCCCTAAAGCTCTAATCAGGAAATTAGTTCCCCTCTTAGTGCTTTAGTGCTTTAGGGGAACTGTGCCCACCACTGCACAACGAGAAGGTCTGAGACCAACACTCACCAGGTGGTTTTCACGTTGACCTTCAGGAAATCCCTGCGAGGGACTTTGATGCCTTTCGTAGCGACCAGCCTGGAGTTCAAACATTTCATCACTTTTATTTAAAACAAGTGAATCACGTGGAAACAAGGACTCACACCCAAAGTGGAGAAATATGCAGCTTTAGTTCATTAATTAAAATGTTTTAAACACTTGCATTTAGTCAAAATACAATGAATAAATACTTTATCTACGGGTTTAAATGAAGTATCTAAAAATATAATCTTAAAGAATGTTTGAAGCCCTTTTTTAAATACTTCCAACTATTTGTTTTGTTACTTTCCATGCGAGCTAGCAACGTTTATTTTATTTTTCCCCAGCTGGTAAATCTCACTAATCCTAATGTTGTTTGAGGTTTCCTCTTTAAAAAGTCTGCGACATGAATAACCTTCAAATATAAAAAGTTAAAGAAAAAGTCTTTATATTTAAGAATCTTGGGATAATACACATTTATCAGTTTTGTCACATGACTTCTTGGCTCAACCAAAGTGAAACAGGAAGTGACATCAAAGGGGAACAACGTTATTTGGACTCCGTCTTCTACTTTATCAAACATCTCTTTTCCTTTTCTGCTTATTTCTGATCAGAGCTGAGAGTTGGAGGTGTTTATCTACAGGTCAGGTTATCTAATAAACTAATGATTTTAGTTTCCCTGCAGATTTTCCTCCTAAAGTTCAAAAAGATTTTAGGTGTTTTTATTTCCAAGTTTGCTCTGAGTTTTTATGCTCAGTTTCTCAGCCTTTATTTAACAATGTTTAGGTGTTCTTTTTCTATTTTTGCTTAAGTCTTAAAGTTTTAGGTTTAATTCTTCATTTTTTTTCTTCCAGATTTTGATAGATTTTTACTTTGACACATTTCTGTTTTCTGCTCAGACTGAAAACATCCAGGAGTTTTACCAGTTTTACATCATGGATTTATTTCTCTTCAACTCATCTCAACATTTCCTGTCTTTTGCAGCTTTATATTTAAAAACAAAATCCTTTTTTTTTGTGCTGATTTCATGTCGTCTGAACACATTTCAGCAGATCTTCGTGCTCTGTTCACTCTCTCTTGCATCACACATTTAATATACTTCAGCTGGTGTTTAACTTCAACAGCTTTCAGCAAATCAATCATTCAGCATCAAGCATTCACATTGTTTTCATTATAACATTATAAGTTGTATTTTATATGCCTCCTTTATAATAACAAAAAAAGTTTTGTTCTCTTTGCTCAGTTTCCACCACTGAATTTATGATTTTTACAATCTGGCTGCATCATCCCATCTAATAAAATGAAATAATACTAATACTAATAATACTAATACTAATACTAATACTAATAATACTAATAATAATAAGCTACTGGGTTGATCTGAGCTCTTTAATCTTCAAAGTTAAACTTCAAACACTTCTTGTTGATGTTTGGACCTCAGAACACCTGCACACCGTTTAAAAACACTTTGAACTCAATTTATGTTTAAATAAACAAAACAGTTCATTTAAAGGTCAAAAGGATTTAAATTCCCCCAAAACACGATCAAAGTTTGCAATGAGAAAAATCTCATTAAGAGTGCACAGAGATAGCTTAAAAACTAAATAAAAATGAAGAAATTCCACTTTAAAAAATCAACTTAAAGTTGACTTTAACCACTATTTTACTTACAGTTAAATAAAAAAGAAAACTGTAGTTTAATTGAAGTCAAAATAGCCAAATAATTTAAATAACTTTCTGCTTCCTGTCGTAATTTGTTCCTTTTAAACTCATTTTTACACATGTAAAAATAAAATATTAGACATTTACCGCATTTCTTTGAAGTGGGTCAGTTCATCACAGACAAGATAGAAAACAATAAAATCAGAATAAATTAGTTTCTATAAAACATTTTTGTACTCACCAGATGGTAGAAAAACATCCTGAGTGTCGCTTTAAAACAGCAGGGTAGTAAAACATTTTGTAAAAATACTTTCTGAAAGCTCAGACTGTGTCGTGATGAGAGCTGAGTGATGAAGGACTTGTTTCTGAGGAAATGTTGGTTTTTGTGTCAGACTGATCTGATTGGTGCAGGGACACAGAGGCCCCGCCCACATGAAGAAATGGGACCACCTCTGCAGAAAAACCTTAAAATCTTATTTTAATATATTTTAAAAAAATTTTTTTTTAAAGATTTTAACCTCTGGACATAAAAAATAACTTCACACTTAGCTTTGCCCAACGTTTTCTGCAGAAAATGTGAAACTTGAGTTAAAATAAAAGACAGAACACTAGCTGAAAGCTAAAATGTGAGTGGCTAAATGTTACAAGTGGCTAAAAAAATAGCTAAACGCTACAAGATGATTAGGAGCAAATTAAAAGTAGCTAAATTATAGCTATAAACTTAATTTAGTTAGCCTCAAATTCAGCTTTAAGTTAATAATATAATACCAGAGGAAACACTTGATTAGAAAAAATACATTTTCTGTGAAAATACTTCATGAATGCTAAACCTGAATGTAACAGAACACTAGCTAAATGCTAAAACTATCAATAGATTTAATATGAAAAAGCTAAAATAAAAAAGCAGCAAAAGGCTAGTAAAAAACCTAAAAGTAGCAGAATAATAAAGTTAAAAAGTGTAGCAACAGTAGCTAAAAGTAGCAGAAGACAATAACAGATATTAAGCTGAAGCAGAAATTCAAAAATCCAAAGTTTTTTTTTTTTTTTTTTGCTGGAACTGAAAAGTTTCAATATATTTCTTTGGGGAAATTCATTTAGACATAAATCTAAAAACTTTAAAAAGGCTAAAAGTTACATTTATAGCATCCTTCTCCTGAATGAGCTTAATGATAAATCTGGGTTTGTAAAACATAATTTGATACAGAAGCAGAAGCCGTTTCATGAAAAGTTTATTCAGTTGTACAGAAAACGTCGTGGACCACATGATTTGATGCAGGAATAAAATAAAATAAAATAAAAGCAACGGAACAGGAAGCTAAGATACAGCGTTGAAGGGGATCTAAGGGTGAAGGATCACAGCAGTCTTCCTCGGCACTCCGTGGATCCACAGCAGCACAGCAGCTCTTTACCTTCTACGCTGCCCACCTCATAGTTGTAGTCCCAGGTCAGCTCGGTGCCGGCCCGGATACGCCTGCAGGGAAGCGGGAAAATGAGGAGGAGGAGGAGGGTGCAACAACACAAAACGTTTTTACACTTACAAAACCTACAAATGTGTCCTGATGTGTTCACAGCTAACCCTAAAGTTTAGACTCACTAACCACTAATCCACTAAACAACCTTAGCTCCACTAATGCTAAAAGGCTAAACAGAAGAAAAAGTGTAGTTGAAGCTAATGCTAACCGCTAAGACGCGTCATCTCCTCCAGCTGAAGACTGGTGGGAGTGGCACAAACTCGTTGGCAGTTTTCTATTGGTTTAATCTGAAGGTGGGCGGGATCACTTGTGGCAAATCGGCCAATCCAAACCAGTTATTTAGATATTGTTAAATGTTATTTTATTTCTTTTTGATGCCCTTTGTTTGAAGTTCACTTTGTGCAACGACTAAAGACTATTCCATTTAGCTGCTAAAGATGCTACATGCTACACACAGTGCCGGACACGTCCAGGGATTGTTTTTATTTAAAATCATAATAATAGGCACAAAAACATAAGTTTTACATTTGTAAATATTTTAGTGGACTTATATGGACTTTATTAATTGAATTTAAGGACTTTCAGAGGTCAAAATAATTAAAAGAGGAAGTAGCTCAGACTCTGCCTGGGTAAGCTAAAGCTAAAGCTAAAATGCAAACTGTCTCCTTCCTCCTTGTTCGTTGACACCATGACTGAACACCTGAGTATGTGGGGGCTTTAACAGAACCGTGCCCACCACTGCTCCTTTCCATACATGTCAACTTGTACAGAGTGTCCATAAGTTATAAGGATTTTACGTCATTTTGCAGGTATACGGACGTATAGAGCAATCTCATGGATTTTTTTCAAGTCTTACGGATTTTTTCAAAACCTCATTTTCAAATTTATCTAACATGTCAGAGCCTGTAGGATGATTTAAAAAAACAATAACATCAAACAGATATCTTCCAACCTGCTCTGCTGCTAGAGATAAGTTTTAGTTGCATCAGAAAGTAAACAAACTGTAAAAAATGGAGTCATTGCAAATCTGTAAATATATTAAAGGAAAAATGTTGACTTTTTTTTAAAGCGAATGTGGCAGGATGAATTGCACCTGCTGGAAGGGTAATTGTGGTGTTGTGGCAGCCAATGACACTAGAGGGTGCTCCCTATAAAAAGCACAGGTAAACTGCAGGTTTAGATTAGAT